CTGGGGAATTCTGGGAGTTGAAGTCCACACATCTTAAGGTTGCTGAGGTTGAGAAACACTGCTTTAAAGAACTGATAAATAACCTTGCCTGCCCATTAAATTTACCTGCAATTGTCAAACTAGGATTATTCCAGATTCATATTTACGCGAATAACTTATTCTCTTGGATCCCACTCAGGATATTACACAATTTTGCCCCAAACTGATCCATGGTCCTTTTATTATCACCACCTTATGAATACTTATTTTCATAGAAACCCACAACAATCTAGATGACACCAACTCATCCTTTTGGACACACCTGAACTCCTGAGCAATTCATTTCCAGCTGTTCTGTTTGCTTCTTCCTGGGCAAGGGCCGAGGTACAGAGCTCTTCTTCCATCCTCATGATTTTTTTGATTTCGCATGATGAAATGAAAGCTCCAATCTGCTGTTTTAAAAAGCATTATTTTATCACTCATTCATTACACTGATTTCAAAGCATAGTAGCGGCTGGATCCTTTTTTTGAGTTATAATTACAGCATTTTAAAATAAGGCAGTGACTTAATATTTGTCTTCTGAGCTCATCTTGAGCCCAAATGCATTAGAATTTAATCCTGGGATTTGTTTGCTGTGGTGGTGAAGCATCCTAAAGGACAGAGTTCCTTCCTTCTCCACTCAGCAACTGTAACAACTCCATAACAGTCCTGAAAAGGGGATTCAAACAATAAGGACAAAATGATCAGCTAGTTTGTAATGTGGATACCTCATGTTTCAAAAACTGCCTTTCTCAAGTTGATCCACATTACACCAGATTGTACTAGATTCCAGTCACCAAATCACAAAACTTCCAGATGAGGCTTTTAGCACAATCAGTCAAAAGTCATAAAGCAGTTATTCCATCTATACAGATTATGGCTGTCATAGGCATATGCTTCTAATTGGGAAGACATAAAAATGACAACACATGCATTCTTATGTCATGATGCAAGTGCGGAAGTCACGGGGCTTGTGTTGTGACATCACAATGCACATTTTATCACTTCCCCCCCCCCTGCACCTTCTTGCCCTCCCTGGAGATGCCTATGATGGTTGTCCCCATTCCATTCACTATCAATACCTCTTTGTATTCTTACAATCTTTTTTCTTAATACAAATAGTGTACAATGTACTCTAAATTGAAAATTATTTACTCATCAACACTGTTTTCTGGATTTTCCTAAGAAACTTATTATATGGTCTGGGTTTGTACAACATGCTATGTTAAAATGTGGTTGGCTAGTTTGTGGTGTAGTAGGTCTTGCAAATGCAACTACAATCCAGTTAGCTGTACTGTGTCTTTTGAGTTGATCTGCAGGAGGCTGAAAGTACCCCTGTTCCTCTAGGCCTCCACAATTCAAGCACTACCACTGAAATTCAGACTATAAGTTGTGTATTGCTAGCAGGGAGATCCTGGGTAACCTTTTGTAATTCAAAATAGGCAGCCCCAAGAGATTTACAACATTCTTGGTGACTGCCTTATATGGCTGGTAAAGTATGCTTGGCTTTGCAGGTCAGTTTATGCAAGCCTGATTTACACCGACCTTGTCTAGTGTACAAGAAATAGCTGCTTCCATGGGAATGGCTGAGCTAAACCACTTTCACACACTATAAAAGGGTAGGATCAGTCAGCTTCTTCCACTAAAATCAATTATGTGTATAAATTAGAAAGTTTTATGCAATAGATGTCCCAGAACTGATGATAACATAGTCCATCTTCACATGCCACCTCCTGTGAAGGATTGCTGAATGTCCACAAGGGCTTTGTCTAGCCCTATAGGCTGCCCCAGCCATTCTTCATGCAGATTTGGTGTGTGTTGTTTATAGCAAATTCTATTTGTTTATTTACTTTGAAACTCTGATTCACATGCCAGTTTATGCTAGAGTAATTTGATTGCCTTTTAGATTGGATTTCTTAATCCATCTTTCCTTCTCTCTACATAGGTGGGGATATGCCCAACTGGATAGCTATCCAAAAACTGAAGCAAAAGGGGAATTAGTTCACAAAGAGCAACTGTAGACCCAAGGGGAAAAGCATAGAATATTTAACACATCAAACATGTGAGATTTCTCTACTAAGGAATTAGAAAGGGGTACAATTTGGCTAGATCCAAATCAACATTTCATTTTTAGGGCATTCTTTTTAGGGCATGCAACAACTCATCAGATATACATTAGGAAGACCTCCTATTTGTGCAGCTGAATCATCCCTTTGAGTAAGGGCTGTGATCTTACTGGAATTAAGCTTATGAGGCCTTTTAGAATATGGCTGTAACTCAACCAAAAACATTTCAACTTGTTTAGCCTAACATTATAGGTTAATTAACTACAAATGTAGATGTTGCATCCAAATGTATGTCATCTGTATTAGATGTATCCCATGGAAAGCAAAGGTAGCCATGTTTACCATAAGAAGACTGTCTTCAATCCTGGATAGGTGACTTATAGGAGGTCTCTACCATCAATGAGAACACCGAACAGTCACTGAGGTTTTTTGCAAATAATTTAGGAAAGTTAAAAAAAAAAAAGTAAGTTATTTTTATAACAGTCAAATTACTTTGTCCTTCAAGCCAGTACTGTATTTCCAATTCTGACAGGCAATAGCTTGCTGTGTTCTTAGGGGAAGTTCTTTCTTTTCTTCTGCTCTTTCTGAATAGAGGTGCTAGAAATTCAGCCTAGAGCCATACGGTCTATAGCATGAGTGTCCAACTTTTGAGAAGTTGAGGGTCACACTTGGATTTTACAGAATGTGCTAAGGCAAGGGTAAAGTAGGAGTATCCATTGGAAAACTCTTATTTTGCTTGGACTGCATCCAGGTTTTGATGCTGATTTCTCCACTCCCATCCATCTTCTCACCTTGTCTTAAAATGACTACATTTAATTTTAATTTACTTACTAGAAATCATGAGGAGTTGAGGAGGGGATGCACAGAAAATCTTGGGAGCTACATGCATCTTGGAGATATACACCAATGTGGACCTCCAGATGGGGGCCTGGGCTTCAACTTTTCATATGACCAAATGGAAGGGATGATGGGAGTCATACGTTAAACCTATCTGGAAGACCATAGGTTTACCACCTCTAGTCTACCAACTGTCCTAACCTTGTCCATGCTGATAGGAGATGACAAGACTCCAACACAATGGGAATGTACCTACTTGAGGAAGTTTCTTTAATCACTACACCAGAGTCACAGTAGCAACTTCACTTGTGATCAGAGCCTAATGTTGATGGACATTAAAGTTGAAGCAAGCAGTTACAAACAGAGTGAATCATGCTTGTGGAAGAGGGAGCTTTGCTCTCTTTGTCCTAAATGGCAGATGTTGAATAAAGTTGATGAGCATTATTTTGGGGGAAAAACCCTACAACAGAAGACATCAAGTGTAGAATTTAGGGGTACCAAATGTGGCCTGCAAACTTCTGGAAAACCACTCAATGGCAGGAAAGACAGAAAACTCTATTTGCTATCATCTACTGGTTGCCCAGATTTTTGCAGCCTGTATCCAGTAGCCCTGATGAAACTTGACCCCTATAACCATATGTTTGGGTTTGTAAGAAATATAGAGTACAATAAGTTCAAATTCTTCCATTCAACTTGTAAAAATAAATCAGAATTGCCCAAGACAAGCCAGGACTGGCAACAAGTCTTCTGTTTTATTTCAAAATGAGATGTATTCTGTCCTTCAAAAAAAGAACAAAACCTCTCCCCTCACCTTACAGGATGTAAACATGTCAGAATAAGTAAACATCACCTACTGTTTCCAGAAGTTATTCAAAGGCTGAATTGGTTTCCATGCCCAACATTCTAAATACTAAGTGGTGTTTATAAATGTGTGTGAAGTAAGTTGCCTGAAAAAGGGAAGAGCATGAAACAATGCTGTGCTCCACTTGGTCAGCAACTCATAAGTCTTGCAGTAGGTATGATAGCACATACTTATCACAAGATATTCTCACAATTGCTGCACCTGCTGAATGTGTACTGTACATGGGGGGGCGGGGGGAGTTTAGAGCAAAGTATAGAGGAAACTATAACATGGTGGAACATGATGAATACTGCACAAAAGACTTTGGTCTTTCTTAGCTGCTGCCCTCCAAATGTTTTGGACATTAACTTGTCATCCCAAGCTATCATGGCTGTTGGCTATGTTTGCTGGGAAACTATGGGACTTGTTGAAGGGTACCAAGTTAGGATGATCAGCCTTTCTCAACTGCAACAGGTCTCGACTGAAAAGAAATGAACATTGCTTTTTGAACTTTGCATACCACTCAATGCTAGCACTCGCAGTGGTGAGAATGTTTACACACCATAACTCAGCTTATTGAACACACTAATGTACCATGAGCTGTAGATATAATAATTTTTATGCAGGGTGGCCCTGAGACCTGAAAATTATTTCAAGGGGTTCTCAAGGGTAAAAAGGTTGAGAAAGACTGATCTAGACAGCTCTTAATAGCTTAACACACATATTTTATAAGGGGATTTGCTCAGGACCCTTATCTTAAAGGCCTAAGGAAAGATTGGACAAACTGTTGGCTCTCAAGATACTGGATTAGCTTCCAACAGTCCCAGCCAGCATGATAAGTACAGTAGTTACTAATCATGACAGTTGTATTCTAGGAACGTAAACCAGTTTTTACCCTTAGTTGTAAAATCTCATGATCTTTTGCAGAAACAAATATATTTCCATCAGATTAAATAAAGAAGCAATAGGTTGGATTTACAAAACATGTTAAGCCAAAACCAATAGCCCTCCCCTCCCTGCAATACATTTTGGGATAGCACAATATGCAAACCCACACACAGAGTCAGCATATTACAGAAGTATAAGAAATAAGTGAGGCATAGCTTGTGAACTGTGGTGAGCATGAAGATAAAAACTGATGCCAGGTTCAATTTTCTTCTTAATAACCCATTGTTTTGGGTTCTAAGTTATCATCCTCTGGGGCCATTCCAAACACAAGGGTTGCATACATCCCAAATCATTGCTGTTACTACACATCCCCAGAAAAGGTTCCCAAAGCATCAGAGAGCTTCTCATGGTCTTCATGAGTTGAGTTGAGCTGAGAAAC